CCCCACAGGCAGTATCTTGACATCTTCTCAGCCTGATCTATCTTATAATGTTGTGAGATAAGTAGGGGAGGGGTACCTTGCAGAAAAACTGAGTATTTCTTTTAAATGCCCTATGTTAAAGTGTAATGGCTTGGTGACTACCTAATTAACCTAGAGACTAGGGAAGTTACTTTTTAAACTACTTTTTGTAGAAAAGTTCCCTTCCCTTGATTGCATGGTCAGTGTTATACTGGCTGAGAAATTCTTGGAAATGCAGCCCAAAGAAGTATTTTTCGAAATTCTCAACTTAGTCCCATTAGCTTCTATCCAGGTGTAATGATGACATTCACCATTTTCTTCATTTCCTAATATCATTGACTGTCTCCTCATGGTTGCTTTCTATGGTTTTGGATCACCCATTCTTCATCCTGCTACTTATCCTTGTCAGCCACTGAAAGATAATTACTATAAAGACTGGGTTACAGTTTGCACATTCCTGAAACTTCTGAAAAATGAAAAATAACTTCAAGTGATCAGCAAACTGCTTAAGAGGCTGATAACCAAGATAAATATTTTTCATTTATTATAGTTAATGGGAAAAACAGGAGAAAAACAACAATGGATGGCCTACTGTTTCCCCTTCTCTGAATTATCTGCCAGAGATCCTCTCCAGCTTTCTCTGCCTGTTGGTGGGGAATCTTCAGAAAAATGTTGGGCTATGTATAATATTATTATATAAGCTGAATCCCTAATTAAATTGTAAAGATTTGCACTGATTTCTTTTAAAAGTCTTATTTTAAAGTTCTGTATCATTAGTCTGAAAGGTGTTCATATAAAGACTTCAAAAGAAAGTTATTTATCCTCAGATATATTGGTCCTTATTGTTAATTGCTTAACAGATGGAGGAATTCATGCAGAGAACAACTTGCCCAAGGCCACCCACCAGGCCTGAGCAAGGAAATGAACCAAGATTTCCCAGGTTCAGCTCTTAACAATCGATTTGCTGGACCACACTGGCTTTTAGATCCAGATGCAGAGTGAGTCATGACCTTGCAAAACAGACCTACGTTTATTTGCTGTAGACAGGATAAACAAATCATGTATATTTATTAGTCATAAGAAGCAGTCTTTTTTTAAAAAAAATCTGTGTGCAGAATTCAATTGCACTCCATTCCAAAGCTACTGTCTTATTAAGAAAGAGGTATAATTTAACTTCTTTCTTAATAAAAACAAGAACTCTGGATTGGTGGTGTGAATGAACTCTATATGCATACTCACTAAAGTCATTCTGTTTTATTGCTATTAAATTCATTCCAACTTATGAGCCTTGTCTACGCTGGCTTGAGCACGTTGTGAGAATGGCTGATGGTCAGATTCCAAAGGATCTCCTATATGGAGAATTAGTGCAGGGAAATCGCCCCAGAGGGAGACCACAGCTGCGATACAAGGATATCTGCAAGGGGGATCTGAAGGCCTTAGGAATAGACCTCAACAGATGGGAAACTCTGACATCTGATCGTTCAGCCTGGAGGCAGGCGGTACATCACGGCCTCTCCCAAGTTGAAGAGACCCTTGTCCAGCAGGCCGAGGCAAAGAGGAAGTCACAAAGGAAGCAAAACCAGGGAGCTGGACAGGGGACAGATTGGATTTGTCTTCAGTGTGGAAGAGATTGTAACTCTCGAATTGGCCTCCTCAGCCACACTAGACGCTGTTCCAAGTCCTTCATACAGAGCACACTCCCATAGTCTTTCGAGACTGAAGGATGCCTACTATGAGCCTCGTGGCACAGTGGTTAAACTGCAGTACTGCACTGAAGATTATGCTCACTACCTGAGTTCAATCCTGGGCTCAGGTAGCAGGTCTAAGGTTGATTCAGCCTTCCATCTTTCTCAGGTCATTAAAATGAGTACTCAGCTCACTGCGTGTGTGTGTGTGTGGGAGCAATGTGTCGCCTGCATAATTAAACTGTACACTGCCCAAAGAGAGCTTTAAGCACTATGGGGTGTTATATAATCACCACACTTCATGGTGACTCTCCCGAAGTTTTCTAGGTACAAAATAATCAGAAGATGTTTACCAGTTCTTCCTTCAAATGGTGCTCTGGGAACATACAGCTTTCCCAAAACCACACAGGTGACAGGGCATGGAAACCAATTTGCTGCGCATGCCCTGGATAATCTTGACTGCACCTTATCCTGGAAGGTAACTCTTGGCTTTGGCTCTGCAGCCAAGCCTCCTACCCCACCCCTATGAAAAACTAGCTCTAGTCACTTTATAACATACAGAAAAAATAATTAATAATTGTAAGGGAACAAACACTTGTTCTGTGATCTCAAATAGCTCCACTGCTTCTCTCAGAGAGCAATGAAGCTTTCTGAGATTACAGAACTACGCTCTCCCTCAAGACCTTAGTCTGCAGTACTACACCCTTCCTTTACTGATCATCTATCATTTGATCTGTTAGAACCACTTCAGTACCAAAGATGGAAGAAAGTGTTACCATCCTATTACTTGGCAATCATGAGTTCACTCATGAAAAGATAACCAGTTGGACTGGCTCAAATATGCAGTAATCAGTTCAACCCAAACTACATATCCCATATTACTGAAAGAAACAAAGAAATATTGTAGTTTTAAAAGTGTTTGCTATGTTAGTCTGTGCTAGCATATCAGGCCAAAAGCAATGAAATGAAATGAAAAACAAAGAAGACAAAAACATTGTGGCACCTTAAAGACTAACTGCTGAATTTTAATGTGAGCTGTCATGGACAAGTCCACTTCCTCAGGTCTGAAAACTGAAGCTGGATCAGGACTGTAAGCAACAATCCTGCCACAATTTTCTGATGTTAAAGGCTGTCACCCCAAAGCTTCCAAAGGCTTCCACATAGTAAAAGGGAACTCTAGGAAACCTTGGGACCTTAGAAGAGAGGGACCGGAAATTTTAAATTATATAAAAACAAAGATGTTATTTCCATTTATGCTCTGCGGAGTTGCACAATATAATTTCATCAATATGCCCTATCTTATCTCAGACTTGTCTTTTTCCGCTTTATTTTGGAGGCCACTGCTATTCTTTCAATGCCTTCCTTGTCCCATGAAAACAAATAAAAGACAAGAACTAGAGCTGTGATATTGCAGGCAACTAAAGAAAACCAGAAGTAAAAACAGAACGCCCCCAGTAACTTCAGATAAACATTCATGGAGAAAGAGCACAATAAGAACTTTTTGTTGTTGTTGTTCATGAAAAAATGAGACTAAATCAGAATTTCATGTATTTGCATGTATCACAGTTATCTGTACACAAATACTGGCCAGAATCCTATTTCAAATTTATCCTTGCGTAAACAAAATGTGCAGGTTGGGAGCACACCCAGGAATGCAACAGCACCTTATTAATGAGCAGCATGAACTACATGATTCCCTTGGTGTTCTGAGCTGCCAAGTCACATCCAATTTACAGTTGCCCTCATAGGTTTTCATGATATGCATGATATTTAAGGAGTGGTTTAATCATCGCGATCCCAAGCGAGTTCCCATGGGTGAATGGAGACTTAAATCCAGGCCTCCTGAGTCCTGGTCCCAATTCTATCCACTATATCACACAGGCTCTCAAAACCATAAATCAGGAAGAGGATTCTGGCCACTGTGATACTGACCTAATCATTTATCATTTGATTATACGCAGGTGTTTTAAAACAAGATATACAGGCAGAAAAACATTTTGCCTTCATCTAAATGGTTTAATTGGATCTAAAACCACTCAAATCTTCAGAAATAATGTGAAGGAATTACCTATATAGTGATACATTTCAGAAGGATCAATGTCTTAGTTTACCAGAGCCCTGAAGTAATATATAAATGTATCCATGTGAAGTAAAATGTAATGAATAGGCACTGAGAATAGATCCAGACATAATGATGAAGAGGATCCACTGAAATCAATAAAATTTAAACTACAAAGTTAGAAATAATTAAGGTAAGTCCCCTGATTTCAGTGGATCTTTTCTAAGTATGACTGGGCCTGGCTCCAACCCGGTGACATCAATAAAACCTTGGGGATAATTAACAATAATCAAATAATTTCCAATTCATAATCAGTTGTATAAGTACTAAGGAAAACCCAAACATTCGGCTAGAGCTAAGAGTATTGGTGATATAGTGGACAGAGTGATGGAAAATATTCACAGATAGAGTGATGGATTAGGATTCAGAAGACCTGTGTTCAAATCCCTCTTTACCGTGGAAACTCACTAGGGAGTAACCTCTTAAACATCTCACACACCCTGAAAATCCTATTAGGGTCACTGTAATTCAGATACAACTTGACAGTATATAATAACAAACACCAGCAGACAGCCAAAGAGCTGAAAAAAGTTACCAGCGCTGTTGTTAGATGTAACAGTTTTAATCTGTTTCAGCATAACAAAAACAAAAACAATTTTAAAAATACTAGCCTATGTTTACCAGATTGACAATCACTCTAGCAACAACCTAGATGTTTATATAGTCAACTTCAAGATAAACCTTTCTTTTTGATTTAAGAGTACAAAAATAAGAAAAGGGATTAAAAGCAATGTTTGTGCATTTACAAATGACATGAAGATGACAACAAACGTTTCTTGCTCCTATAACTGGAAGGACAAGAGACAATTTACAGTAATTGTAGGCATGTAGGTTTTTATCAGTTAATAGAAACATTCTCTGCACATTTAGTTTTTATTAATGGTCATGAATAGAGAAATTGAGAAGCTCAGAAATTAATAATGCAATCCTAACTAACATTTAGTTTTAAGTAGATCCCACTAAACCATGGGACTTACTCCCTGGCCACTGTGTCAGGATTTCAGGGCAGTGTTACATATCCAGGCACACTTTTACCTGGGGCAGTAGGTTCACCTGAAACTAGTGAAACTGACGTCTGAGTACAGTAGATCTATATGTTTGTCCAGTAACTCCACACATAATAAACAGGTTGCAAATGGAACTTGGGTCAACTCAGATAAATAGTAACAAATTCTTACTTTTCTCTTGCTGTTTTTGGAGCCTCATATAACGGCACCTTTGGTTCACTGCTTGTGACTTTGAGCATACGTTGTCTTCTCTTTCTACATGGGGCAACATCTGTAGTATCAGCATTACTAAGTAATGAGTCCCTTCTGGGTTTAACTGCTGTAGCAAAAGAGGAGGAAACATGACTAAGAAAACAAATGTATCATCACCCTAGAAAATGATATAGACATACTGTGAAGTTTTAAAGTAAATAATGTTGCCAGACAATTGGAGAGCCACAGATTGAAGGAAATGCAAGTACTGTATAGTAAGGGCTAAGTTGTTATTTTCACATGTATTTATATTTCCACATGGGACTTACAGCTTCCCCTGCTGCCCTTACCCATTTGCCACCATACTGTATGTTATGTTATTTCCTTTCTCTGCTCTATCAGCTAACATCCAGATTCTGCTAAATCTCCTGCATATGGAAATGAAATGCAAATGAATCTGGTTGGATAGCCATTCGAGTAACAGAATTTGTGTTTATTATTTATTTATTATTATTTATTTAATTTATATGCCGCCCACACTACCCAAAGGTCTCTGTTTGGTAGTTTTAAACATCTGGGAGGATTTTTGGTCATAGGAATCTAAACTTTGAGAAAATATGAGAAGGGATTACTACACCAATCATAGCTCTACTTACTAAGTTGATTTCTTCATTAGATCTACTTTTTCTTAAAATAATTCACTTCAGGGGGGGAAAAGTTAAAACTTGAAAAAAATATCAAAGTTTGCAAGAGAAGACAGGAAATTCGTTTTCCAGATTTGCTTGTCTTATTTTGCAAAACAGCTGCATAGAACATAATGTCATTTTTATTCCTCCCTTGGTACAAATGTTTGAGCAGGTTAATTTTTTTCTCCATCACTGATTCATGAATTGGACCACTGGATTGACCCAGTATTTACATTAAAGTATGAAGAGCACATATATTCAAGATGTTAAAGGCAGAATGTATAATTCTATTCCTAAAGAAGACATATTGTTCTCAGTGAGACTTTCTTCTAAATAAAAAATTGCAGGCTTACTGCCCTAAGTGGAGTTGTTGCTGTTTCCACTGATACAATTCAAGCCATCACACACAAATACAAATACAGTTTTTACTTGTTTCAGTAAGTCAAAGATGTCATAAAAGAAAATAAATATTTTAAGAATTTTGGATGAAAATTATGGAAGCTTGCTATAGATTAGGTCAAGAATGATTAAAATGCAAATGAATATATTTATTAATATTTATTATTAACAATGTTATATATCTGAAAACAGGGAGCTGTACCATATACAGCATCAGATTAACATGCCTACAAATTCACAATCTAAATAGAGGATTCATTATTTAACCAATTTAAAATCAACTGCCAGAGCAGCATTCTGCAAAATGCATGGTAAATCACACAGGTCATAAGATAAATGTCAAATTCCATGTTGCGGCAATGTTTTTATTAAGCTAACTGAAAAGTCAGAACAAATTTCTGTGCAAGCTTTTGATGTAAAAAAAACCCAATCTATCAAGCAAGATGTTACAAAGAGTGCGGCAACTGCATGTTACAGTAATGAAGTCTGCACAAGGAATATGTATATATTTGTGAGTGAGTAGTGATTTCCACCAACACTCCTGCGCCAACAGGGACAGTGTCCACTTCATATAGTATTCTAAAGGGTTCCTCATGCCTTGAATCAGAGAAGTTGGGAAGACAGTTATGTGTACAGAATGCAATTGAATGCAATTCAGAGTCAGTATTTTCAATGTTAAAAGAATGTTGACTAAGTTAAGAGATTTTCTACAACCGTGTTCCATAGAATGTGTTAGGCAGCCAGGCTACAATTTAGTTTAGGGTTAGGGTTCAATCCTAATGGTTTTAAATGGTTTTGAGCTGGGGGAGTTATGTTTCTGTGCTGTGATGGGTTTTGGGGGGTTAGTTTGTTTTTTGGTTCCCCCATTTCCAATGGGTCTTGGGAGGTTTGTTTGTTTTTTGGTCCCCCCCATTTCTGATGGGTCTTGGGGGGTTTGGTTGCTTTTTGGGTTTTTTCCCCAATTCCAATGGGTCTTTGGGGCTTTGTTTGTTTTTTTGCTTCCCCCCCAATTTCTCATGGGTCTTGGGGTGTTTGGTTGCTTTTTCCTTTGTTTTCTTTGCATTTCCGATCTGCTCTTGTTCTCTGTGCATTTCCGATGTGCTTTATTTGTTTTCTGTGCATTTCCAATGGGTCTTGCACACTTGATTGCATTTCTCCCCCCCTTCAGCGGAAGGGATTAATTACATTTCAGTGCATTCCTATGGGAAATGGTGCTTCGACTTACGACCATTTCGAGTGACGTCCATCTTCTGGAACGGACTGTGGTCGTAAGTCGAGACACCATTGTAGTCTTCATCTCATGAGGCACTGCAGACCTTGGGGGTGGGGGAGGGAGGTAACCCCCCCCCATCATCTTGGCCAGATGTTGAGGGCAGGTATCACCCACCTTGGTTTGAGATGCCAACAATTGGATGTGGATGGCATTTCCTTACATTCTAGGTTTATTTTGTGTATTACTGGCAGACATGGAAACACACGATGATGATTTACTTGCAGAAACAGCTTTGGGTTGCAGCAGATTCATCGCTAAGTGAAAGGCAGTTTCCCATTGAAATGCGTTGAAAACCGGATAATCCGTTCCAATAGGAATGAATTGCCGTCCTTAAGCGAAAATCGCCATAGGAAACATCGCTAAGTGAAACACGGTTCCCCAATTGAAATGCATTGAAACCTATTCAATGCATCTCAATGAGGGAAAAATACAACAACAAATTTAAAAAGAGTCAGAGCAAAGTCAAATTTGGTTAAGAAAGGGTTTAAGTGCACTTTATGATTTCAAACATTTTAAACAGTAAACTAACTTTATAAATAACAAAAACATTTAAAAAACAGCAAACATGAGGCTGTTTAAACCATCATTAAGCGAAACAGGGGACAGAAAATTTGATCGCTATGCGAAGCATGGTCCCAACCATCGCTAAGCGAAAATCGGCCATAGGGACCATCGCTAAACGAAGCACAAAAATGCTCCGAAAAAGTCATCGCTAAGCGATTCCGTCGCTAAACAGAGCGCCCGTTAAGCGAGGCACCACTGTATATGCAACAAACAAAGAAACAAACAAAGAAACCTAGGTGAATGAAGTACAGTCAAGCGTCTGAAACTACTGGAATCATCTGCTACTGGAAAAACTCCTACTCAAGTTGTTCTATCAGAGAACATTGGTAAGCAGAGACAGGAACTTTGGATCCAAGCCAATTTTTCTACATAGAGATAAGATACAGACAACATATTTAAAACTAAAGACTTCAGTGCTTGTGAGAAAAACATGTATTTTTAACTAATAATATTGAACAATGACATAAACTGTCATCCTGTTAAAATTAAAACTTAAAATGAAACCTCTAAATTACAGGTTCATTAAGAAAGAAACTCTACTGATGGGAGTCTATAAAAATGTTTTGACTATGAAAGGAGTCAGGGCCTGCTTTACAACACAACAATGAAAGCTTTATAATATATTTTGAAACTTCTTAGACGTGGATTGCAGGTAAAAGCTCTATTAGAAAGCTGGTGAAAGCTGAGGAATTAAAGTTATGTTATCTGAAACTTCTTGCCAGCATGTTTATTCCCCCTCTTCCCAAAATTATTTTCTGTAAAATGCTTAGCAAAACATTCAGTAACTAACTATATTGACAGGATAAACATTTCTTGCTCTGTATGTGTGTATGTGTGTGAGAAAGAAAGAATGTCTGTTTCAGAAACTACGGTAAACGTTGAATGACAAGCTGTTCTCTATTCTAATGCTGACTGCTCACAACAGCTCCCTGACTTAAGAGTTTCTCTACACACACTTATACCAAATAAAACCTGTTAGTCTTTAAGGAGCCACTAGACATTTTTTTCTAAGCAGGTTTATTTCAGCATTGTATTACATTCAAGTCTTTGATCATAAATTAAATCTGAGGACTTGACTAGACCTAAACATTTGGCATCTTGCAAACTTTCATAACAGCTGGAATATCATCTCAACTTTTATAATTTCTACATAAGAAAACAAGATAGAAAAGTTGAATAAGACTTTGCAATTCAAACAAAAGCTTGCTAATGTAGTTATTCTTCAAAAACCTGGAATAAAATGATAATGCAAAAGTAAAAGTAAAAATTATATTTATTTATGTACATTATGTACAACAGAGAACAAAATTTGCTTAGGTGAAACTTACAGTCTACAAGTTACTGCAATGTAAAATTTGATGACTTTAATGACTTCTGATCTGCACAAAGTACAATGCACATGTAACACTAAAACCAACAAAATATAAAATACTACCCTTGGTCACTATTACCTGGCTTTGTTTGTTGATAGTCACTTTTAAGACAATGTGACTGTGTTTTAGAATTTTTTAATATAGCTTTGTATTAACTGGTATTTGAACAGAATGCACACTGTAGAGTTCCATGTATTCTCAATTCTACTTTAGGGCATGAAATCACAGACTGTAACAGAGGTAATTATAAAAAGATAGAAGCATTTTAAATGTAGATTTCTTGTGCAATTTCTTGGATCAACAGCATGACCAACTAGGTATTAAGGTGAACAAAAAAAGACCCAGAAATCATGAAATTCATAAAATGCCGAAATTAGAATAATTACGTCCACATAGTAAGAAACAGAGTGAGCAGAGTGTTACAACTGATCCTTCATAGTAAAACGAAAGGGGACAGAAGAATAAGAATGATAGTAAGTTATTGGCTGCAAACCATTAGAGATTGGATTGCTTGCAGTACATCATTAGATCTGTCACATCGAAGGTTTATACAGTATAGCCATGAGGAGAGAAAACCTTCTCTGTTGGCTACTCAGAGGCTTGGGAATGTTTTTGCTCAAGAAGTAAGGTTGGCTTTTTCCATTTTATCCTTTTGCCAATTATTAAAAACCTGTGTTTTTAAGGTGGATGCTGGGTTTTGTTCTTCTAAGTGTACTTTTAAATGTTTTAAATGCTTTTAAAATTATTATTGCATATCTAATTGTTTTTAACCCTGCAATCTATTTTTGTTTTTACTGTGGCTCATTTTAACCTTTGTGAGATGCCTTGGGTC